CTGGGATTTGATTCAAAATAATCCAATGGGAAGAGGACTGTCAGAGGGTAAAGATGAAACCAGGCTGGGTACATGGAGGTTAATTTCACTAATCTTTCTAACTTTGTGTATGTTTGGAAGTTTCTATTATATGTATTTCAAAAAGACTTAAGGGAGAAGTCAACACTGCTTGAAATATGGCACAATATCTCTTATACTAGAGATACTTCAGATAACACAATAATAGTCATGTTAATTTCCAGACCTACTGGTCATGAATATGGGCCTTAAATAGAGACATAGCTATTCATAGCAAAACTATCCGAGAAAAGGAAATCTCTTACACTTAATTTAATTTCATTGTTCTCTTTGCCCGTATTTGGGAATAGAAATTGTTTCACTAGCTGAATAAATCATAACTATCCCAAAGTGTTCTTAATTACTGACTTCAATAAACATACTCGGGCATTCCAAGAACAAATAAGAAAATGAAGTTTATATCCAGGTATTTCTTTTATAAGCATCCATTTTGACATATAAACCTTGATTATGTTAAGGTAGTTGAGCAATAGGGAACTGGTGTGGAACTGAATTTCAGACTGCATTCTCAAACCCTTTTGTTTTTCCTACACCTATTTTTCCATGGTGGTTTTTTTGGGGGGGTGGGGGTGGCAGATTTTGGTATTATTAGCTATGATCTATGTAAGTCCTTTGAACCAAGTGGTGTATATGGAATCATTGAATACTTGAAACACACTTAAATAATTTCAGGGCTGATACAAAAAACAAAAAACAAACAAACAAAAAAACCAGCCATTAATCCTAAACCATTTTTGTAGAAATGACAGGTAGGGGACATTAGCAGTCAGAGTGTGATTACAGTTCAGACTAGACATTTCTGAACATTCTTCCTAAATGCCAGGGGGAATGAGAGCCCAGTCCCCTCAGGCTTTCAGTGTAATGTGGTGATGGATCCGTGCAAAATCCCGAAAGCTGAAAATCGGCTTCACCTCGCTCTCAGCCCTGTTAGTTCTTACTGCCATTTTGACTTTATTCCTTTTCTCTTAGTTTCTGCTGTTTCTCTAGATTTTCTGTCCTTGTTGCTTCTAAGGCAGATGAAAGCCAGATGAAAAGACATGGGGCGTCTGGTTTCGGCAGACTGGTGATGAGAGCTACATTAGCTACATTTCCCATGAATATTTTTGAAACACTGCGGACACCCACAGTGTGCCGGGGCAGGCCGCGGAGAACGTTACCGCCGCGCCACAAGGCACCGGGCCACCGACGGGCACCGGGGCTCGCTGCCTTCTGCCAGCTCAGTCTGCAGCTTCCCAGACGCCCTCTCTCCTCGCCCGCAGGCGCCTCCGCCTCCACTCCCATGCAGTGGGCCCATTCCTTCTGACCTGAGGGTGAACTGCGGGCTGGCCCTGTCCCAGCCCAGCGTCGCCATCCCTCCCTAGCTCCCTCCAGGCAGGTGCGGCCCAGCTCCCTGGCCACATCACGACCCTTTCGCGCAGTCCAGAACCAGTGCCTGGCGCGAGGCGCGAGCGGGAGCGCAGGGTCAAGGTTCCCGGGAGGAAGTGCGGCCTGGCGGGGCAGCGCGGGGCAGCCACGCGCCTAACTCCACGGCCGAGGGCTGGCGGCAGGGAGGGGGCGGCGGCTGCGGACCCGCAGGCGGACTGGGGGGCCGCAGCACCGCCGCCAACTACGTCCAGGCGTGCCTGGGTTCTTGGGGCTCACCAGTGAAAAGAGGACGCAAATCCCACCGGGGAGGAAGAACGCACCCTCCTCTGCCTCCTGGCTGGCCACCTTGGGTGGAGTCGGGGAGTTCCGCGCGGACCCGGGCGCAGCAGGTGCAGTTCCGGCCGTGACCTTCCCACTGCTCCAACCAAGCGCTTCCTAGACAAACGCGGAGCGGAGCGCCCGGCGCTGGGCTGGGGAAGCGACGGCGCGAGCTTGGGGCGGCCGGGTCCTGGGGGTACAAGTGCGCTTCCGGGCACGCCGGGCCTGGAGCAGGGAGCCGGGAAATTAGGTCCATTTAGGCCTGGTCTCCGAGACCCACCCGAGGCCCAAGCAGGAGAAGGTCACGGGCGCCCTTAGGGTTAGCGGTTTAGAAACCAAATAGGGGGGCGCCTGGGTGGCTCAGTTGGTTAAGCGACTGCCTTCGGCTCAGGTCATGATCCTGGAGTCCCGGGATCGAGTCCCACATCGGGCTCCCTGCTGCTCAGCAGAGAGTCTGCTTCTCCCTCTGACCCTCCCCCCTCTCATGTGCTCTCTCTCTCTCATTCTCGCTCTCTCAAATAAATAAATAAATAAAATCTTAAAAAAAAATCACACCTCATTAAAAAAAAAAATAAAGAAACCAATAGGGCCCGGTTCCACCGCCTAAGGGTCTTGGGGCGAGTGTCTCAGTTTCTCTAAGTCGCAAACTTCTCATCCGTGTGATGGGGATTCCAGCGTGCCTTCTCCACGGGGTGCTGGGAGGGCTAAAGAGGAGCCCAGTGCCTGGCAAACAGACAGAGAGCAGAGGAGAACGGTGAGCCGCTGTCCTTACTGCCATCAGTTATTAGCCGGTGGGACCCGAGGGGGAGTCGCTTTACCTGCTTTCCCTCCTGCCCTCGCCCCAGCCTCCCTGCGCCTCCCAGCCCGTAGGCTCCGCTCCCCCAGCCGCTCGGGAAGTGTCCAGTCAGCCCGGTCTCAAGAAGACGAGCCCGAAGGTCGGAGGCAACCCCGTCTCTCGATCCCTCTGCGCAACAGGGAAGCGCTGTGCCTTGCGTGCTGGGGTTTACAGCAGACCCACGCTGTGGCCCTGACAGCCGCGAGAACCCGGGAGGCGCCCGGACGCCCGTGCGCGGACCCACCTGTCCCCCGCGCCGCCCCGCCAGCAGTGTGGGCTCAGCCCGGGCTCGTCCTCACCGCGGGGCTGGTGCTGGCCGCAGTATCCGGGCCGTGGCTGGGCGGGTCGGGAGGGGCACCCCGTGGACCCCCCGCGAGGCCCGACCTGTCCGCGCAGTCGCCAAGTTCAACTGGAGAACAACGTTTACTTTACTCTTCCACCGAATCCACAATTTTCTTGAAAATTCATGTTCGATATGGTTTCATTAGTAGGAGAGGGAGGGGCCGGCTTGAGCCGGGTTCTGAGCCTCAGACACTCGTGTTCGTGATGGTGCTCGTCTGGCCTGGGGCAAAGCGAAGGAAGAAACGGGCTTCAGCCCCGAGGGTCGGCTCTGGGCTCAGCGGCGGCTCCACCCATTGCTCCCACGAAGTTTGTTGACCGAATCAATGAACGCGTGTAGACCTGGAGAGGGTTTCGCACTAAAGAGCAAGGGGAGTCGGGGGTGGGGGGGCGGCGCTGGAACGTGAACGGGATTGTTCTTGGTAGGAAATAAGCTCTCTTTATTAGGGCTTGTTGCCAAACACAGGTAGCCCCAGATCTACAGAATATGCTAAACGGATCTTAAAGCTGGGGTGCAGAGGGTCTGGCAAGACGTGGCAAAACCTGAGAAGGGAAAGTGGCTGGCGGGGAGGGTTAGAAGGGGCTTTTGGGTCGCCGGCAGCCGGAGCTGCGGGGAATCCGCGGTGCTGGTGTTGCGTACTAAGGCTTCACTGCACGTGCAGGGCGGAGCGAGAATGGAAGTTCGAGTCTAGGCGGCCACCGGGGGTTGGGCTTGAGAACTTTCCAGAACGTCCCCAGAACTGCACTACTGCAAGCCCAGAGGGGGTGAGGATCGCAGGCAAGACTTGCGAAGAAGTTCTCAGTGCTGGGGAGGAGATGAGAAACTGGGGTAAAAGTGGACCAATTAAACGGCTGTAAAAATGTGTCTGTCTTCCCTAGAAATTCACAGCTAGAACAGCGGAGTAGATGAAGGGAAAGGACCTTCTCACATTTACCAAGTGACTTCTCCCAAAGCGGCAAAGAATGCAATTCTTTTGAAACAGGAGCCCTTCTCCGGACCGGGAGTGCTAGTGCCGCAGGGTCTCTAGAGACTTGCTTTCTCTGGGGAGTATTTCCTGATGGGCATCTTCGTCTGGTTTCCCTCCCACCCGATCACCTGGAGCTGAATGACAGTGAAACCTTTCTGGTTGCAAAGTTCTTTCAGAAATGCCCTTTGAAACAACAACAACAAAGTTCTCTCTGTTCTAAAGAAATGGACTATAAGCCCTTAGAAGGCATCTATCTGGGGAGAAAATGGTTTTAATTGTAAATGTCCACAACACAGTTGCTACATTTGATCCTTGCTTTTTTCCCTGGCCCTGCTTTTGAAAATTCTAATGCCTTTTTTTTTTTTTAATTTCCCTAGTAAATGTTGGCTACTACATTCTAAGTTGATCTCAGATGGCGCTCCGCTTTATCCAGGCAAAAAATCAACGTCTTTAGAAAAATGAAAAACAAATGGAGAATATATTTACAGTTCCCTCCAATTCTTTTTTCTTCTATCCGTTTCATAAATACTGAATCCCGTTATTTTAAAACCCAGGACCTTTTCAACTTCAAATATTTGGAAGTTTTGAAAGCCGTTTTGAAATTTGTTTCTGCTACCTATAATGAATATGAATTGTAAAACTAAATTGTTTAACTGGGAGGAAAGAACGTTTTATTTTTTTAAGATTTTATTTATTTGCTAGAGAGAGAGCGCGCCCACAAGCAGGGGGAGGGGCAGAGGGAGAAGCAGGCTGCCTGCTAAGCAGGGAGCTCATCGCTGGGCTAGATCCCAGGGCCCTGAGATCATGACCCCAGCAGAAGGCAGAGGCTTAACCGGCTGAGCCACCCAGGGGACCCAAGAACCAAGTTTTGAAAGAGGTTCCACTTAGAAATCGATTATTGAGAAGCAATATGAAATAAATGATGAAGTGTAGTGATTTCGCATTTTATTTAGTCTATATAGCTAGCTTTGATTTCAACATCTTTCCACGTAAGATGGCACATCAGACACACAGATCTGAAACAAATGTTTCAAAATTAAAATTCCATATTACACATCCACTTCAGGAAGACATAAAGAACATAAGTATTTTGGACTTGACTTGGGACTAATATTTACAATTCCTAGGGAGTAAACAAGGGGAAACAAGTCTGCATTGGACATTGTGTATTTTCTTTTTCTTTCTTTCTTTTTAACCAGAACAAAATATCCTGCTTGCGCTCCTACTTCCTCTGGAAATGTGTAACCGGAAAAGCCCTGGAAGCCACAACCGGAGGCTGGAAAAAGAAAAAGGACAAGAATTGCCGCCGTCCGATGTTTATGTCCCGGTTGTCTGACAGTATCCAACTTGAGCTTTGTAAATATTTTGCAGTAACCCGAACTGTGGTTCAGTTAGTGGTTGTTCCGATGAGGGATTCAGATGCACCCGCGTTGTCCCTGCCGTGTAGGGTGTTGTGCGTGAAGGCAGAAGGCGAGGAGAGCGGGACCCCTCATTGCTCTGCACTACACCTTGGCTGCAGTTGCGCCCCGCGGAGTCAGCGCCCGGACAGGGTGTGGATGCTCCTCAAAAGGCTGGCAAGGCACCCTCTCTGCCGGAAAGGCTGGCCACCGTGGTCAGCCCGGAGCCTTCTGCTCCAGGCTGACACCCCAGCAGCGCCGCGGGGGCGGACAGGTGTTGGCCCAGCAGAGCGCCCTCGCTTGGAGCGCCGCCGCTGGTACAGCCCTGCTGCTGGGGCTGCTCTGAAACGGTCCCGGCAGCCGACGCGGCGGCCGCAGCGGACACGTGCAGCAAGGGGGTAGCGGCCCGGTGCTGCAACAGGCCCGCCGGGCGCTGCAGCAGGTGGCAATAGCCCCACGGGGTCGGGGGCAGACCCTGCCTGGCCCTGGTGCCCCCTCCCCGGACCCCTCGCATGATACTCTCGATGCTGAAGGGGGTGCATCGGTCTCGCGGCGGCGCCGCCGGCCCCTTGCCCTCCTCCCAAGGCTGGGAGCGCAGAGAGGGCTGCAGCGCCGAGAACGCGCCGGTGGCGGCCAGGTCGGCGCCCAGCGCTTTCCTGGGCGTCTCGGCGCAGGCCGGGGCCGACAGCAGCAGGTAGCGAAGCGGGTGAGGGTGCAGCAGCACGCACTGGCGGCTGCCGGCGGCGGCGGGGTAGGCCCCTGGGACTGGCGGCGGCGGGGCTGGGGGCCCGAGCAGCAGGCCCGGGCAGGGGCCGTGCAGGGCGGCGGGCGCGGCGGGCAGGGGCAGGGGGTGGTGCAGGTGGACTCCCGGCGGCGGGTGGTGGCGCTTGAAGCGCTTCCTGCGCCGGAGGAAGCTGCCGTTGTCAAACATGTCCTGGGAGGCGGGGTCCAGGCTCCAGTAGTTGCCCTTGCCCGGGCGGCCCGGCTCGCGGGGGATCTTGACGAAGCAGTCGTTGAGCGAGAGGTTGTGGCGGATGCTGTTCTGCCAGGCGGGGAACTTGCGGCGGTAGTAGGGGAAGCGGCCGCTGATGAAGGCGCAGATGCCGCTGAGCGTGAGACGCTTGTGCGGGCTCTGCAGGATGGCCATGGTGATGAGCGCTATGTACGAGTAGGGGGGCTTCGCCGGCTGCGGGCCGTCCCCAGAGGCCGCCGCAGGGCCGCTCAATGCCCTGAACTCGGTGCCAAACTTGGAGGAGTCGCTCGGGGCGCCGCCGCCTTCGGGGGGCTCTCGGGGAAGCGCGCCCGCGCCCCGCCGCGCCTCCGGCGTCCCCGGCGGCCGCAGCTGCGCTAGGAACCGCTGGCTCTCCGCCGCCTCTTCGTCTTCCTCTCCCTCCTCGTCTTCATCTTCCTCCTCTCCCAGGATGTCGATCTCACCGTCTTCCCCGTCGGAGCGCCGGAGGCTGCGCTGCGGTGCGCGGCGGAGGCGCTTGGGTTTTGGCAAGTTCATGGAGGATCGGGTCCTGCAGACGCAGAGGAGGTAGCGGCCGCTCACCCGGCTCGCGGCGGGGCTGGGCTGGAGGCCTGGGTTGAGTGTTCCAAAAAGCAGAAACCCTTGTGGTTGCCCTTTGGTGTTCTTCTCTGTTGGTTTCTCCTCGTTTCCAACACCGTCCAGCGAAGATGCACTTTGCCTTTTATTAAGGCTTCTTGGAGTCCCTGTGTGGTTGGCTCCCCCCTCCCCCTTTATGCCCCTTCTTCCCCTACCTCTGAGAGCTCCCACTTCCTTCCGACGCAGTCCAATGATGAGGATCCTCTGCACGTTACCCGACAGGGCAAGAACCTTCAGCCTCCTCCTTCTTACACCCACCCGCCAGCAAGGAAGATGCGCTGTTAAACTGCTTCGAAATGTGCAAATAAAGAAGAGGCAGGAAAATATGGTACCCAACAATTTATGGCCACTTTGACACTCAGGACTCTCCGTTGGAGGATAGAAATTGGGGGGGGGCACTAAATGTCTACAATGTTTGACTGTAAAACAACGTGTAACAGTAAAAGTGTGTTTTCGTGTTTCATAGTTGGTGATACCCACATTTTCATTGGTGGATTCCGTCCTCGTCCAGAATGATGAGCTGAAATATTCTTAATGTTCTAAGTATATCCATGAGCTCACGGGTGTGTGAGGGAGGCTTGCATGGTCCCTTCTGCTCCCCACCTTAGCTCCCCAAAATGTTCTCCCTGACTCAGCTTTAGGGAAAAGGCTGAGATGTCCTTGGCATTAAGTTGTGTAAGTTCCAGGTGGAAGGAGAGCAGGAGAGCTAAAGAGAAGTCCCCTTGCATCAGTGACTCTCGAACTTCTTTGAACATTTAACCGCAGTATGAAATACATTTTATGTCGTGAACTTGGAGAGCGAGACTTCTGTAACTAAAATGGGTTTCATAAAACAAGTGACCACTGATTTTTTTCTTTTTTAAAATGTCCATGACCAACCACACTGATTTTGCCACATCCTAACTAGTACAGAGCCAGTGTGAAAAATCCTGTTTTCAGAAAAAATAGCCTCACAACACCGAGGGATACACCAGTCTGAGAGTCAGTCGTTCACACATGTGCTCTACCCTCCTCCCCATTAAAGCCAACATTAAGCCCTTTTACTATAATAATACTAAAGTTGAAACTTAAATAAGGCAAAGGAAGAGGTGCAGTTTCAGCACCTTTGCCAAACTACTAGGTCGTCATTCCCTACATTGGAGAAGCGACATGGCACAGCAGCTCTGTTTAATTTACTTGATGTCCCTGGAAGTAAGGATTTTTAGATTGGCTTCACTTAAATCCGCTCAGAGACTAGAGTAGCAGTCCAGTGGAATATATTGTGTGTTATATAAGGGGGTCTGGGTCTTAGGCTGAAATGCTGAGCAAGAGTATATATTCATAATTTAATACCCAGCCACTAGTGAAAAGAATTTGAGAAGGCATCTAAAAAAATGCAGCGTGAAAATATTGGATTATGCCACTGATTGTCACAGAGTGAAACTTCCACTCTGGATTCATGATAATGAACTTTCAGGAAAAAATCAGAAGCCAGCTAAAAGGGCAAAATAACAATAACAACAAAGCTCAAAGTAGCTAGTCCCTTCAGGATAAAATTTTGAAAACCTTTCCCTACCGCTATCTTTTAAAAGCTTTGCCTCTACTCCTGAGGTTCTCCGCCTGTCTTCTCAGTCAAATGTAGCTTGAAATACAGAACTTTTGAGCCTTACAGATTTGTTTGAATCCCAGATTCACCAATTACTACTTGTGTGATCTACTAAACTAAGCTCCAGGAGGGCTGTGACAGGTGTCTTATTCAAACTCCGGCTCCCAGCTGCCTGCCTGTCAACCCCCTGCAGGTAAGGGACCTTTCTGCCAGGAGCAGAGGAATCCGATTACCTGGAAAGGGAGTATTGTTAGTTTTCGGAGAGTCAACGTCTACGGGGATTTGGGTTATTTAAAAATGAAAGGAGAAAAGGAAAGGCATGCAAAAACAAAACAACTGAAACAACCCCCATTCTCGGAGCTATGTCAAAGGGGGCACAGGAGACAAATGAAAGAGGCCCCCCACCACCTTGGCCAAAGCTCGGACAATTTGAGGAAAGATTAGATTACAACCCAAAGTATAAATATTCAAGCATCCATACTAATGAAAATTAATGATCAAGTAAATTAATAAATGGGGGAAGGCAGGGACACCTGGCTGGCTCAGTGACTTGATCTCAGGGTCCTGAGTTTAAGCCCCACATTGGGCGTAGAGCTTGCTTTAAAACAAAACAAAACCCCCCAAAAAATAAATGGGGGGAAAGAAGCCAATCTCCCATGCAGAAGAATTCCAAATAATGTAGATACTCCACGCTGGAGGACGTGGAGCATACTTACTCCTTTACTGTGGTAGGCATCACTGAGTGGCTTCCTTCCAAAGACTACAGTAGGGGCAGGGGGAGCAGGTGAATAATCTTACAAGTGAAGAAACCTGACAAACACTTCAGCCAGGTCATCAGGTGATCAATGTTAACATCAATAGTCATAAACCATGTTAATAGTATATACACTTGATATGTGATAAAAATAGCACTCTGTGATCTCGCTCCCCAAAACCCACCAAATCAGGAGGAAAACAGACAAATTCCAATAGAGGAGCATCTTATGTACCTAATCAAAACCATCCTCAGGCGCCCAGGTGGCTCTGTGGGGAGCGTGCTTCTCCCTCTCCCTCTGCCCCTCCCTCTCAAATAAGTAAACAAAATCTTAAAAAAAAAAAATCCTCAAAACTATCAAGGTCACCAAAACAAGGAAAGTCTAAGAAACGGTCATAGCCAAGAGGAGTCTACAGAGACATGATAACTAACATCTTGGATGGCATCCTAGAACAGAGAAAGGACACTAGGTAAAAACTAAGGATATCTGAATAAACTATGGACTCTGGTTAATAATAATGTATCAATATCGGTTCACTAATTGTCACAAATGTGCCATACTATTGTAAGACATTAAGTGAGGTGGGGGGGATATGGGTTCTTGTACTATCTGTATCTTGTACTATCTGCTCAATTTTCCTGTAAATCTAAAACTGTTCTGAAAATTACATTCTATTAGTTTAAAAATTAAAATGGGAAAAAAGGCCTAATAGCCAAAAAGAAACTTAAATGTCCATCAGCTGATGAATGGATAAACAAAATGTGGTACATAGTTCAGCAATAAAAAGAAACTAAGTGTTGATACATGCTACAAGGGATGGATCTGGAGAACATTACGGTATGTGAAAGGAGTCAGAATAGGCCAATTATAAAAACAGAAAGTTGATGAGTGGTTGTTGGGGCTGGGAGCAGGGGGAAATGAGGAGTAACTGCTGATGGATAGTTTCTTTGGGGAGTGATGAAAATGTTCTGGAATGAGACAGTGGTGGTGGTGCTTGCCACTACCTGTGTATTATACTAAAGCCCTGAATTGTACACTTTAAAAAGGTAAAGTTTACCATATGTGAATTATATCTAAATAAAACTGTTATACAAAATATGTCAATGTAAAAACAAAGAGCCTTATTAATGAAAACTAAGCAACACTCCATTATGCCAAGTCACTCTACAAAAAAAAAAAAAAAGGAAAAGAAAGGAACTCTTACTGTCCCCTCCCATCAATTCTTCAGTGTTGCCATAAGAATCAAAAGCCTTCCTTTGTAGCCCCTGCAATATTTAACCTGCGGCCTAGTGCATGGTGGGCACTCCATAACACTTGGTGATTACTTCTTTCCTAACAATGACAGGGTTTTTTTTCTGAACAAACCTATTGGGCTCACAAAATGCTGTCCTAGTGTGAAAACCAAACTTTCTAAACTAATCTACAAAAATGATGATGATGTCTGGTTTCTTTCCATTGCACTCTGAAAATTAAAGGCAATATGGTCATCAAAAGTTAAAGTTGATTCTAATATTAAGACTAATTGAGAAAGAAAAATCTAGCATATCTTTCTCATCGAAGTAAGAAGGGCAAGTTGCTAGTCTATGAAGGCAGAATTTATTTCTTTCAATGTCACTTCCACAATGTATGGCATTTCTAACACTGGAATAGTCTTTTCAAAGCAATCTAAAAATAGTTTTCTCACCTACACTAGTAATCCAAAGACTATTACTCAATTTGTAGCAAGCAACCAAGCAACCAAGCTCCTAAGTGCTTAAAAGCTTCTTAGCGTTATTTTGCTGATAACTTCCTTCAAATGTCATGAGCTAATAATCACAGACTCTTTTAGTCCCCTGGTCTTCCCTCACACCTTGTGCTGACCCCTTCCTACAGCTTTCTTGCACTCAGAACCAGTGTTCTTGCCCCTTACTTACTAAAAGCTGGGAAAAGCCTAGAAAAGAACTATTTGCTTTAGGAAGATATGCAGAAAGCTTGAATTTTTTTTTAATCAAATCTTACTATAAAAAGAGAATTCACGTGTACTGAGACTCTGTATTCAGGGTGCTTTAAATTTCATCCCTGAACAACAGAGATTTGCATTTTATCTCCATCTTATGAATAAGGAGGCAAAGGCTCAGAGAGATTTAGTAATCTATCCTATTCTATATTACTCAGTAAACTATAGAATTTTTATTTTTTAAAGATTTTATTTATTTGACAGAGCAAGACAGCGAGAGAGGGAACACAAGCAGGGGGGAGTGGGAGAGGGAGAAGCAGGCTTCCCGCCGAGCAGGGAGCCCAATGTGGGGCTCGATCCCAGGACCCTGGGATCACGACCTGAGCTGAAGGCAGGCGCTTAATGACTGAGCCACCCAGGCGCCCCAACTATAGAATTTTAGATGAACTATGCCTAAACCTTGATCATCATCATGAATACCCTTCAAATTTTCTTTTTTTTTTTTTTAAGATTTTTATTTATTGAGAGAGAGAGAGAATGGTAGAGAGAGAGCATGAGAGGGAGGAAGGTCAGAGGGAGAAGCAGACTCCCCGCTGAGCAGGGAGCCCGATGCGGGACTCGATCCCGGGACTCCAGGATCATGACCTGGGCCGAAGGCTGTCGCTTAACCAACTGAGCCACCCAGGCACCACCCTTCAAATTTTCTATAGTTAGCAGAGTAACAGCCCACATTATTCAGTGATTTGCCTTATAAAACAAATATTCTTTCCAGGATATCTGTGGCAAGTTCCCAAGTCCTCTGAAGTACGGGTTAAACCAATAATGATTCTGATCACGGAAAAATACTTCATTTGGGGAAAAATAAGAATGAAGAACAGGACAACACATCTTTAAAAGAACATATAAACAACATAAAAATACAGTGTAAAATCTAAATTAAAACAGTGAAGGGGCACCTGGGTGGCTCAGTCAGTTAAGCATCTGCCTTCGGCTCAGGTCATGATCCCAGGGTCTTGGGACAGAGCCCCACTTTGGGCTCTGCGCTGAGCTTGGAGTCTGCTTATCACTCTCTCTCTGCTCCTCCCCCCACCAGGTGCACACACTCTCTCACTCTCTCTCTCTCTCTCTCTCTCGCTCTGTAAAATAAATAATTTTTTAAAAAGCAAACTGCATTACAATATATAAGGAATATTTTATTTAAAACACACACATTATAAAAATAAAACCTTTCCTTGCGGATATTTATAACAAGCTTCTAAATCTCCTGAGGAAGCAGCTTAAATTATGGTTCTGATCATTGAAAAATAATTCACTTTGGGCAACAACATAAGCCATGTGTGTGAGTGAAGCTGACAACATTGCTTACCCCCAAGGAGTGACATGACAGAAGGAGAAAGGTCAGGGGAGACTGACTTCATCTACAACGTTTGCATTTTTACAACACAAATATATTCAGTCAATACTTATGTGATAAAAAATATTTAAAGATTAATACATTAAAGAAAAAACAAATATTTGTGAGTTTGATAAAGACAGACTTTTAAGAGTATATATTAATATTACTTCAAACATTTCTCCAACAGGAAATTAAAGTAAGCTCTTTCTCATGGCCTAGAACAGATGAATCTAGATACTTATTGTTTGCCAAAGAACATCACGGAGTATGATTATGGCAACATTAACTATAAAATAAATCAAGTTTAAGTTGTTAGGAACAAGAAAAAATTTATCCAGGTTCTGCTGTGGGCCAGGAGCTGAGTTGGGTGCATTAGAAACCTATTCAATCCTCACAACAACCTTGAATGATTGATATTATCACTATCCACTTTATAAATACCAATCTCGAGAAAATACTTTGTCCAAGATTACACAGCCAAGAAGCAGAAGTGGAACTAAAGCCCAGATCAGACTCAAAAATCAGCTGAGTTTCTACTGGGCAATCTGCTACCACCAAGTAAGCTTATTCTCTCAACTATGAATTTAAGAGAATGGATTCAGGAGGCAAATGGATAAATACAGAGAACTTTTATTTAAAAAGGGACAGAATGCAGGGGAGGAGACAGATAATCTTTTTTTTTTTTTAAGATTATATTTATTCATTGAGAGAGAGAGAGAGAGCATGAGCGGGGGGAAAGGGCAGAGGGAGCGGGAAAGGGAGAAGCAGGCTCCCAGCTGAGCAGGGACCTGACCTGGGGCTCAATCCCAGGACTCTGGGATCATGACCTGAATCCAAGGCAGACACTTAACTGACTGAGCCACCCAGGCGCCCCAAGAGACAGATAATCTAATCAATTGGCCTTCCTCCAAACACTGGAGCCATTCAAGATACACAGAGATAACTCTTTTACTTAAAATTCTGGAAAAAAAAAATTCCAAAGGGCATTGTGATAGCTTTCTGATATTTAATAATCATTAGTTTGGGAAAGCTCTTCTTTAAATCCCATCTAATGCTTTTCTCTTACAATCTGAATACAGTTATGCTGACCTGGCCTTTAGTAAGAATAGGAGATAAGTAAGCCACTGTACATTTACACACCAACCACTGATATAAAGATGGTTAAATGATCCTAAGTTATCTGCAATTATGTCTGAAGTTTTGCACCTTGTCGCTTTTTTGCTTATACTGAAAATTAAAGAAGTTCAAAGAAATCATGATGAATTTAATACCAGTAGTAAATTCTACTTAAAATTAAAAGCTCTAAAACTGGAATCATCTAAATATATTATGAAGTAAATGGAAGTTCCATTACTCTACAGGAAAGCTTAGAATTGACTAGGAGATGGCTTTAATTTTTTACTCAGATTTCCTCCACTCATAAGTCTCTAGCCACATCAAGACTTTTATTTCATTTAATAAAAATGGTGATACTGTTTTTACTTTTATTTGTTTATTCGACAGAGAGAGATAGTGAGAGAGGGAACACAAATACAGGGGAGCTGGAAACGGAGAAGCAGGCTCCCCGCCAGGTGATACTGTTTTTAAATAATTTTTGTTAATAACAATAAAATTATATCTATGCAATCAGTGTAGTTCTAAGGGAAAAAAAGAACGTGAAAGTAAGTTTTATCATTATGATTATAAATAACTTCCATGGATAAAAAGTTCAGCATATGTACATTTCAAACCCAGTTCTGACAGATACTTTTGTGAAACATCTATTAAAAAAAAAACAAACAAAAAACTGGACACCTGGGTGGCTCAGCCGGTTGAGTGTCCAACTCTTGATTTCGGCTCAGGTCATGAGCTCAGGGTCCTGGGACTGAGCCCCTGGTTGGGCAAGCGTGGAGCCTGCTTAGGATTCTCTCTGTCCTCCCTCTGCCCCTCCTCCACATGCACACCTCCCACGCACTCGCTCTCAAAAAAACAAAAAACACTTTAGAGGACATTATGTTTTATTGTATGAATGTCAAATGTTTTAAGCACTTATTTACTACATTTTATGTGTTCCATAAAATAAACACTTTTTTAAAGTACGCCAGAATTCACAACAGAAGTAATGCAAAAAATAGACACTTGAAATATACCCAGTAGGACACTGAATCCCGATTTATCACCCAGTCCCTCTGATAAGAAATGCTTCTAGTGTTATGGACAAACTTGATCTTCTTTGAAATGTGTTGTCCACCGCTTTTCTGTTTCCATCACAGTAGCTATAAATAGTTGTCTGAGGATCTCCTTATCTAAATTCCTGCCTGCAAACAGAATAAAATATGGTGTGATTTATATGATGCTTATTAAAATGACAGTTTGCCTATCAATTCCAAATCATTAACAACTTGATAATCTTCAGAAATTTACAAAAACTAAGTAATCAGTGATCCCTTCCCTTAACTTCCTATTTCTAATTAAGTCCCTCAGAACCAAATTGGCATTTTAATTACTTTTCTACATTTGAAGAGGAGTAAAATGCCTAACAAGTTCTTATGAAGGTTATCACATCATGAAGACAAATACATTAACCACAAGCTTAGTTAGGTTGACCAAAGGGGTTGAGATTGGTTAATACTGGTTAAGGAGTATACTGTATCACTTTCAAATATATATATTTTAGAAATTTAACTGTCACTTACCAATAAGAACCAATCGATTTGTTCTCTCGGTGTCATTGTTCCAGCTCAGTGGAGTCTCCTCCAGATCATAGAGCTCGTGGACACCCTGGACAATCACCTGTTTTGGTTTGTCTTTGATTGACACCAGCCCCTGCTCAGATGAGAGGGTTCAATCAGCTGCAGTTCAAATTTAAAGCAGAAACTGACCATCAATGTTTATGGATTAATTATTCCTATTCCATTTTAAATACACACCCATAAAGAAGATGATGTTAAAATTACTTAAATCCAGTTATTTGTGCATTCTAGAAATAGTTTCTAAAGTCTCCAATTTTAAAAAAGGCTTATGTGCACAATGTTTTTTTTTTAAATAATCCCTTCTCCTAACAATAAAATTAATGTATGTATTAAGGATGTCCTTTCAGTGTTATGAGAACTAAAAATTTAAACAACCAAATGATAAAACATGCATCGAATTCTACTGATGTTTCTACTTTAAGGATTTTACACCTGTTTCAGTTTTTTAGTGGGAAAACTTGAGAGGTTAAAGGGGTCGGGCAATAATGCTGACTGGGTTGCAGTGAATGGTGCAGGGAATGATGGAATAAAGGAGAGGAAACATTGTCTGGATAAAGTTCATTTTTCATTGATTTGCAGAAATGAGAAACAAGTTATCTGATAAACCTGCCCCTCCTGGGATAAAATAATTTCTCTGAAATAATCCTGTTATACTTGTTATAAAATTAATGCAGAACAGTAAGAGACAAACCATTCATAGTCATTCTTGCTACATAAGCTTTGTGTGTTTTTGGCATATTTGTGTATTTTAGGTGTATGTTCTTCCTGTTTTCCTTTGCCCACTTGTTTTCTGCTTTTTTCCCCCTAGTTTTACTGATAAAATTGACATACAGCATTGTATTAGTTTAAGGTGTACACTATGATTTGATTTCTGCTTTTCAAATTTGAATTTTAATACACAGTAACTCCTTGGAAAGAATTATCTAAACAGCAATTTTTTGTTACTTGTATAAAGACTTTGAAGTGTTAGCTGCTACCTGAGTGAACGTTTTATTTTATTTTATTTAAAAGATTTTATTTATTTATTTGACAGAGACAGAGAGCACGCACAAGCAGGGGGGAGTGGGAGAGGGAGAAGCAGACTCCCCGCTGAGCAGAGTCGGGGGGTGGGGGGGCTCGATCCCAGGACCCTGGGATCATGACCTGAGCCCAAGGCAGACACTTAACTGACTGAGCCCCCCAGGCGCCTCCCTGAGTGAACATTTTAAACATGTTCATCGTTATCACACTAACATTTTGTAGCCAGAAAAGAAAGAAGTCTATGCAGGTGAAGGCTGTGTTGCCCCAGATCTCGAAGTGTCGCTGCGCTCAGAGGAAGGCCAAGAGAAGAACCAAAGAGGACCGACAGCCGCGGAAAACCTGTCCCGTGCCTAAGGACAAAATCCAGGCTGGGCTGGTGCAGGATGCGCCCCGGAGCTCTGGGTGGAGGTCTCGGTGGCAGCATTAGCATACATGCCCCAAGGGCTGCTTTGTAGGGACCACCCCCCATTCAGGAGCAGGGCATAAAAGCAGTAACAGAATGAAATACACCCTGCCAGTTAGGATCACGGAATGTAGATGGTGCTGCAGTCAGGAAAGCCGCAGCAGGATCACGCTTAGTTCCTCTGGGTGGGAATGACTTGGGAACAGACTGAGACTCACCCATGTTGCTCTGAAGCCAATCGCAGGTAGAGCCGCATGGGGAGTAAAGAAATCTAAACCTGAATGGTTTCTTGATTGTGTGTACCTTTGTCATTCTAGTGACCCCAGGAAGTCAGCTGCTAACTGGAAAATTTAGTTACTAACAGTAATAATACCAAATAGTAATAATAAAAACTTTATGCACACTTCTGGAAACACAGGAGTAGACAAACGACTGCTGATTGGTTAAGCACACAACTAGAACCGCTGCCCCCTGGAAAAAACACCTTCCGTGACATAAATACCCAAATGCCACGTAACATGAATGGGTTTCCAAATACAGAGCAAGAATTCTTCTCTAGTCCTCCGTAACTGTTTATAGTATAACTGTTTAGTGTCTGCTAAATGTGCCAAGCAACACAGGTTTAGCTGCAGCAAGATGTCTAATGTGATTTCTCTGTTAATGAAGCTCCCTTGGAAAATGAAACACAAAAAGATGCCTGGGTGGTCCAGTCGGTTAAGCGTCCGACGCCTGATTTCACTTCAGGGTTGTGAGATGGAGCCCCAACATGGGGCTCGAGCTGGGCATGGAGCCTACTTAAGATTCTCTGTCTAAAAAAAAATAAAAAAAAAAAAAAGATTCTCTGTCTCCGTCTCCCTCTACCCGTCCCCACCATTCCCTTAAAAAAAAAAAAAAAAAAAGACATTCATTCAGTTTTCCCTAACTGACCAAGCTGTGTGCCAACGAAAGGAGAGTTCCAGCGAGTCAAGCTCATTAGCCAGGTTAACTGCTCAGAACACTTGGGAAGAGAGAACGAGGGGTGATGTTTCAAAGCACAGAGGTTGCAAATGAAGCTATGCAAATAAATCACGCTTTACGCAGTGATTTCCAAAGCTTCTTTTCAGCAACGGAAATGAGAAAAAAAAAATGAAATCAGACAAAAGTTATTTGTACTAAAACCAGCGCTTGTGTTTAAAACCAAATAAGGTTTTATGTCACAGTCAAGAAAGGAAAGGGCCTTTGTCCCAGAGTACTACAGTGTAGACCCTACTCCGCACCTTTAGCCGTATGACCTCCATGTAGTTGTCATCCTTGTTTCGCACGTTCCGCTCCCACAGAAGATTCTGTATCAAGTGACATATTCAGTAAGACCAACCATCACTGCCAGCAACAACCAAGTAACACAACAGGTGGTAAATCATTATCAAATACTGCATTCACCTGAATAAATACATTCAGACTTTCTTCCTTTGCATTTCCTTGTACTTCAAATGTCACCGTAATAATGCTCTATAAATCAAGACAGATAATCAATCATGATTTTCTTTATAGTAATGGTGTATTTTTAGAACATCGGTATATTTTATAGTAATGTCAGTGTATTTTAAGACAAAAAAAAATACATGAACACGTATGCTGCCTGACAACTATATTGGGTCTATCTTTTTCACTATCTTGCTGAGTTCTGGTAGCAGCAATTCCATTTTCTGTATTCCACAGAGGTGATCAGTGGGTTAGTATTTAAACAGAGAAACTTTCATGAAAGGATACTCATGGTTTAATTCATCCTTTCCAGGACTCTCAGCACTGAGCGGGAAGGTAATATCTACAGTGTACCAACTATGTACCAAGCCAGGTACTCTTAGCCTGGATCACTTCATCTTTTCAGTTACTCGTGACAACAATCCTATGGAATAAAGAGAATTATTTCCCTTTTATAAATAGGGGGTAATAAGGCTCAGAAAAAATAAACTACTCAGAGCCAGAAGTAAAACTCATATGCAAAAGTGTAATTCTGTTCTCTCGGAAAAATATAAAGGAAAAATTCAGTTTATCTCTGACCATGTATGCGCCAAAGGAGAAGAGTATCTGGAGATGAGAATGATAGTATTATGTCCCTCTTGGTTTGAGAAGATTGACATCATTTAGAATGTTAACTCTGAGATTTATTTTTCCTCCTGCTCCTGATAAATCTCTCACTGTCTACTCTAAGAAACCAGAAGCTCAAGATTTCCTGTAGCTGGTCACATAAAAAATCCAAAGCTCCATTTGCTCCTGTCACCAAAATTTCAACTTAATGATGAGAAAACACAAGGGCTAAGCGTAAGATGATGAAAACACAAATCCCGCCTTGGATAATTAGGATAAGATGCTCAAGCCAAGCTTTAAAACAGGAAGAAAAAAACATAGTAAAGCATGGCTTTGCATCATTTCCTGCAACTGCATTTATTAACAGCAATTTTATTCACCAATGGAAAAGCACACAGGCTTAGAGCAGAAAATATGAAAAGACCAAATTGTTTTTTATCCAAACACAGAGGATCGCTAACATAAGTACTAAAGACCAATCTAAGGACAAAATATACTGATATTTAGTCTCCACTGTTGCTGGTAATGGGAAAAGCAAAAAGCACTTTCTTGCTAAATATGAGACATGAAAGCCAACTAAAATTGACTTTAAAATGTCAGATTTTTAAAAGTACTTATTCTGTCACAATAGCCAAGAGATGAAACAACATAACACTAACAGATGAATGGACAAAGAAAATGTAGTATAATAGTGTAGTATAAAACTGTGGTATGTTGATGGACCATTACTCACTGTTAAAAAAAAGGAAATTCTGCCACATGCCACAACGCAGATGAGCCTTGAGGACATCATGCTAAGTGAAATAAGCTGGTCACAGAAGGACAAATACTGCATGATTCCACTTATATGAGGTATCTAAGTGGTCAAACTTACAGAAATAGAAAGCAGAATAGCGGCTGCCTGGCTGGGAGGTGAGGGAAATGGGGAGCTGCGGTTCAATGAATATAGTTTCAGTCATGCAAGATGAAAAAGGTCTAGAGATGTGCTGTACAATAGTACTCAGACAGTATCAGCTAGTGATATTGGACTATACACTTAAAAATGTGTCAAGAGGGTAGATCACATGTGTTTACCATAACTTTTTTAAAGTACTTATTTTTAAATCTAAATAAACACACTTTGAACTATTTATTTTACTGCATTTAAAGTTTTCTTAAAAAAATAAAGTTTTCTTTTCCCCTTAAAGCAATCACTATAAATAATATCTAAGAATCCATATCAAAATGTATAGCAAATCCTATAACATATCAAAATACATAGCAAAAAGGTTGCTAAACGAAACATAATTTGTCATTTTCAAAAGACAGTAGCAATTCAACCTTCAAAACTGCTTAAAATGTATTTTATTCAAGTTGGATAACTTGGCTTTTAATATTGGAAAGGCCTCAACATGGAACTCAAAACTGTTTTATTCTAGCTTAAAGAATTTTTACTGGGAATGACTGTTGTTTTCGGCAGGTTAGGGATATGACAATATTTTTAAGGGGTACAATTAACTCCAATATGAGATAAAAAGGGTTTTAAAAGTTACGACAATGCATCAAGGGGCTCAAGGAGTGAGATAAACATTTTAGAACTAGATGTTTTTCTGTACCAATCAACTCTTTTCGCAGTAGACAATACCTTAAAGATGAAATCCGCAAACTCCCAGTGCAGAGGACAAGGGTCATAACTCATAATTCCTAATTTAATGAACTATGCAGACTGCCATTTGGGTTTTCTCCCCTTCTCACCTTCCAACCCCGGATCCTCCTTATAGGGAGGTAACAAGGAATCCATGAAAGAGAGCTGCATTACAGATGATTCAGGGATAAAACTTTAATAACATACCTACTATGCCCTACGTATTACCCATGTCAGTATTTTTTTTCCCAGTTTTTGTTTTGAATCTAAAATTAACTCTCCTTTTCCCAGACACAGGAAGAAGCAGAAAACCAAAGCAATCATTCAGAAAATGAAAGTAAAATAAGGTACTGCCCCTAAAATAAAATTTAGGAATAACTCCAAAAGTTTAGTTTTCTGGTCTGTTTTTTTGTCCACCTCCCAGGTTATTCCCCTGGGTGTTCTAGTCTTTGGCAAACAATATCTAATAGCAGTAACTTCTGCGTGTTTTCTTCATCTGGAAAACTGAGCCCATTAACATGCTCAACCCCAAATGTGAAGCTCCTCCCAAGTCATTTCTACTGGACATCCTGCCACCGAGTAAGAACCTGAAAGTCCGGCATTCCTCCGCAAATCAGTGTTTCTTCCAGGTTTCTCTATGCCGAGGTCCCTCCAGTCAATCAGGCGTGTTTCCCATCAGTTCCCCCATCTTACTGCCCCAGCATCGGTCAGTAAGGCTACTCCAGCAAGTCTACCTGTGAATCAGACCTCGATTTATCCCATTTCCATTCCCCCCATGACCCACACAGTCCAGGCCCTTGTCACAGGGTATCCTCCTGCTTGATCTCCTGCCGTCAGCTACAGCCCTGCTCACCTGCCACTGGGGGACAGCACAGCGTGTGTTCTGCTTGCCACCGCACATCAAAGCCCGACACCTTAGCTTAGGATTCAAACACCAAGCGTCCACCAAGATTTCTACACTTACAGTCTTCCTCTTCTAGAGCATTCTCACTTTCCCACTTGTAAACAACTGGGTTGCTCTTTCCCTTACTTCTTCCAGTCAAACAAAAACCTCCTCGTTTAAGGCCACGTTTTGATGTCTTACTCAGAATAGCAGTCGCATCTTTGCAAAGAATGTTGCTAACTGGAGAGAGACGCAAAGGAACTCTCTTAACGATTTTGGAAATCTTCTGTACCTGGATCTAAGAGAGATTTATAGAGATATATGTCTATGTATGCAGATGGACTGATACACAGGCACAAATATATGTAAAGATACATTGACTTGTATGCTAAAAACCTGTATGCTTTACCGTACGTTAAAAAAAAGCATCTTTCATGAAGCCTCAGACCCACTAAACCGAAGGAGACCATCATTCCCCTGAATCCCATAGCCCTTTGTCTGCATTATATTCTGCCTTTTCTTATATACCTAAAGCAGGAAAGTGCATCCGAATCTCCTGTAGAGCCTTAAAAAAAAATAGACATGCCCTATTTACTGGTGAAATGACACACTGTCTGGGATTTCTGTTAATACACTCCAGCAAGGGTAATGGGCACTTGCAGTTTTATTATACTATTCTACTTTTATGTATTTTTGAAATTTTCTCTTGAAAAAATACTCCAGCAAAAGAAATATTGGGAAGACAGAGGAAATAAAATCAGCAAAATGCTGGCAGCCATTGCAACTGGGTTCCTTTTGCTATTCTCTGTACTTTTGTGTATCTTTGCAAATTTCCATAATAAAATGTTAAAAATGTATATACACATTAATTTGCACATACCCAAGCCCCACTCCTGGAGATATGAGGTGGGGGGGGGGACTACTGAGCATCCAATATTTTTTAGAAAGTTCCACAAGTGACTCTGATGTTCCCCATTTGGGAATCACAGCTTTCATTCTTTTAACAAATATTCACTGAGCAGCCACCACAGACCATGCCCTGTGCAAAGCATTGAGGAATCTACACTTAAGGAGTATACAGACTACTACAAGGAAAAAGCATTTCAACCCAAACTATAAGGCATGATAAATGCCATGAGAGGGGTATGTGCAAGATACCATAGGTATAGATACTGGCCGTTATAAAGGTTCTTGAAAGAGACTACTACATTCTTCATCTTTTACATGACTCCTAGGATGATGGTCCCTCACTTGGAAAGTCAGTAAGAATATGCTTGCACTTCATCTTTAGGACTACTACTGAGTATTGTAAAAGTTGGTTTTTCCCAAAAACTCTACAGCCAGGGAATTGTATTTCTCTCATTCACTCATTTTAAAAACATGAAAGATGACTATTTTATGAAGTTTCTGAGAGGAAAGTGCCAGGAACACAGTTGTACAGGTCCCCATAAATACCAGCCAAACTGAAGACAAACAAGTGGCCCCATCACAATGAGTAATGCTTCAAAGAGTGAGTGATGGTTTCCAGACAGAGGAGGGAAGACAGTACATGGCTCACTCATATGCCCCCTTGCTCTCACTCTGTTTCAATGGAACAAAGAAGTTACCCAAAACCTCCACCATCTATGACTTGCTTAAAAGAAAGATGGGTACAGTGAAAACATGTTTTGTTTGTTCCTAGTATCGTCAATATTTACCTCAGGAATTAGAGTTTTAGAGCACCTAAATGAAGGACACCTTAGGGAATTCAAATTTACAGTGCTATCCGCCAAGTGAAACTCAAATCTTCATTTAAATAAGCCATAGATGCTTTTACCAGACTTTCCCTTAATCTAGCAGTTCAACATAGCTAAAAACCAGCTGCGTATAGAACCCCCAGGCTGCTTTTAAGCAGTGATTCCCACCAGAAGAGTGACCTGTTGAATGGAGAAGCTAGAAAGCATGATTTCTTAAGACTCTAAAGTCTGGCTTAATGAATTCCTATTACGTATTAAGAAGCTAGATGAGATTACCTCAAAAGCATCCAAATTCTGAAAATTATCAACACCGTTCAAAAATACTTTTTTTTTAGCAAGACTCAAAACAGTCCTAAAAGAACCAATTTATTTTTTTAAAACCCTTAAAAAAATTTTTTAAAGATGTTTTTTACCTGATCAAGGTGAGGCTGTGTTGTTGGCACATGCTGAAGCTTTTTCTGCAAACTAATAACAACTGATTATAAATTCAGACATCAATATACTTTCAATTTAACCTTATATGTTACTTAGAGATATGGAGCTAAGAAGGGAGTTTCCACAACTCAATCTATTACACAGTTCCAATTTTACATGCTATTTACACATTCTAATACAGAAAAGCTAGCAGACTGTTTAAAGATTTTTCCTAACAATGTGCACACATTCAACAAACAAGCAAACAGACTGGTGGTTGCCAGAGGGGAGGTGGATGGGGGAATGGGTGAAACAGGTAAAGGGGACTAAGAGGTATAAACTTCCAGTTACAAAATAAGTAAGTCATCACGGAACACTACATCAAAAACTAATGATGTACTGTATGGTGACTAACATAATACAATAAATATTTTTTAAAAATAAATAAATAAATAAGTCAAAGATGAAAAGTACAGCACAGGGAATATAGTCAATAATACTGCAGTAATGTTGTATAGTGGCACTTGGTGACCACACTTATCGAGGTGAGCACTAAGATACAGAATTCTCAACTTAATATGTTGTACTCCTCAAAATAATACAACATTGTATGTTATACTTCAATTAAAAAATGTACATTCACATGCACACATCTACACACAATACAGAAAAAAACCCTAATCTTTAGCGACACTATTTTGTGTGGTTAAATATGTCAGCAGATTTCTCTTTAATTCCAACAGATCTATAACTGACCTAGAAAAATACACGTAAGCATTTTACTACTGCTCCAAATTTCATCAACTTGTCCCATGCTTCCTAATGTGAAAATAAGGCTAGTACCTAAAGAAAGTCAGAAGGGTATATTTATTCCTTTATCAATGTATTCCCTTAAACGTATCTATTTATTAAGAAATAAGTAGTATTAAGAAATAAGCCTTCTATATAGTCAGTTGCCAGTGACTGAGAGAAAACAAAAAATCTTAAAAATGTTTTGTTTTGATATGAAAAAGAGCGAGAATATCAAAATGGCACAACCAATTATAACCTTAACTGTAGCATACATTTGGACACTGATGGGGGTAGGCTGGAAGGAGGAAAAAGACTTAAAACCTTGCAGATGTTTTGCTCTGCAGAACAGTGAGGGGTAAATTAGTAACAGGGAGTTTAGAAAAGAGAAAAGGATTGTAGGAACTGTTGGAGGGAAATGAGCCTCACAGGATGGGGTCTTAGTAGAGAAAGTGTCAAATTAAATCCTTCCCAGCTGGTTGCTCAGAAAAGGATTCTCCATTTTTGCAACTGAGCACAGTGAAAAGTTATGCACAGGCCTGAGCCACAGAGAGGGCATCACGTTAAATAGCTACTTCTTTCAGTGTCGCTAATGCATTATCACTGTTCTTAAACAAGTGTGGAATGAAATTACCTTAGAAAATGTTCGAAAAATCACACAATCTTTATGTTCGACATTTAATGTTGTTAAAAATAACTGCCAACAACTTGCATAAGAAGGAAAAAGTTTTCCTCAACCCTCTTTAAGTGCCTGGCTGGGTGTGAAAATTAGATTGACAAACACAGATTAACAGGAGAAAAGGGTACAAGTTTATTAATGTAAGTTTTTTTTTTACCAGATTTATTTATTTTAGAGAGAGAAAGAAAGAGTGTGCAGCGGGGGGGGGGGGCGGGCAGAGGGAGAGGGAACCTAACACAGGGCTCAATCTTGGGACCCTGAGATCAGGACCTGAGCAGAAACCGCAAGTCAGACACTTGACCCACTGAGACAGTCAGACGCCCCTATTAATATAAGTTTTATGTAACATAAGAGCCTTCATAAAGAAATGAAGAACCAAAGAAATGGTTAAACCTGAGCGTTTTTATGCTATGTTTGATGAAGAGTGGAAGGTTGTGGAAAGAAACAATGGGACGGAGTATGAAACAAGTGTAGTAAACTGGAGGATACTCAGAGAGGCCTGTTTCTTGATTCCTCCGTGTGTACCTTAGTCTTTAGAGATAAGGATGCTCCTTTCCTCTGGGCACTGGGAGGGTACCTCTCACACGAGGCTTTTATGACTCAACTACTTTGGAGAAAATGGGAGAAAATATTTCTAAATCACGTATCTGATGAGGGGGTAATACCTAGAATATATAAAAAAAATTCCTCCAGCTCAGCCACAAACAACAACAAACCATGGGATTAAAAAATGGACCGAGTATTTGAATAGACATTTCTCCAAAGATGATCTACAAATAGCCACTAAGCACATGAAAAGCTGGTCATGACCTCGAACCACTGGAGAAATGCAGAGCACAAACACGAGGAGCTGCCACCTCATACCCATGAGGACGGCTACTACCAAAACCAACTAGAAATACTGAGTGTTGGCGAGTCCATGGAGAAAGCAGAACCCTGTGCGTACTGCTGATGGGAAATGAAAATGGTGCAGCTGCTGGGCCGAACAGTAGGGCATGCCTCAAAATAGTAAAAAGAAGTGAAAGCAGGAATCGTGAAGAGACATTTGCACACCCATGGTGTAGCAGCATTGTTCACACAGCCAAGAGATGGAAGCAATCCAAATGTTCATTAGTGGATGAATGGACAATATGACGGAATATTATTTAGCATTAAAAGGAAAGAAATCCTGTCACAAGCTACAACATGGATGAACCTTGAGGACTAAGTGAAATAAGCCAGTTAAAATAAGACAAATGCCATACATTTTCATTGGTATAAGGTATCTAAAGAAGTCAAATTCTTTTTTTTTCAAGATTTTATTTATTTATTTGAGAGAGAAAGAGAGAGAGGGTGAGCACGAATGGTGGAGAGGGGCAAAGTGGGAGGGAGAAGCAGACTCCCCACCAAGCAGGGAGCCTGACGCAGGACTCAATCCCAGGACTCTGAGATCATGACCTAAGCTGAAGGCAGATGCTTAACCGACTGAGCCACCCAGGAGTCCCCTAAGTAGGCAAATGCTTAAAAACAGGTAATAGAATGGTGGTTGCCAGGGGCTGTGGGGAGGGGAACAGGGAGAGTCATCATTCAACAGAGTTTCAGTTCTGCAAGATGAGAAAGTTCTATAGATCTATTGCACAACAATGTGAATATACTTAATGCTACTGAACTGTAAACTTAAAAACGGTTAAGATGATTTAAAAAAAAATGAGACTGAAGAAAGATACATTCTTCTCCCTTATCAAAAAGATTCCTGGGCGCCTGGGTGGCTCAGTCGTTAAGCGTCTGCCTTCAGCTCAGGTCATGGTCTCAGGGTCCTGGGATCGAGTCCCACATCGGGCTCCCTGCTCCGCGGGAGGCCTGCTTCTCCCTCTCCCACTCCCCCTGCTTGTGTTCCTGCTCTCACTGTCTCTGTCAAATAAATAAATACAATCTTAAAAAAAAAAAAAAAAAAAAAAAAGATTCCCTCCAGGGAAAGAACCAGGAGAGTGATCCATCACTGAAGAGAAAGGAGGAGTGTGTAGGAATACCCCAAGCTAAAGTTTTTTATGTATTTCATCCATTTTTCTCATAGAAAGAAAGTATTACACACAGTGGTTGGTGCAGAAGTATTAACGATGAATCCCTAAAGTTAACTACCATTTATACTAAAATTTCTATAGGAAAATGCACTGTGATTTCCAAACATCCAATTAATAAAACTTTCAAGAACAATATCATTAGGAATGATCTTGTACACCAAAGGAATGACAAGAAGCTTAAATCAAGGGTGCAACTGTATAAATCATTCCTGTAACTTCTACAACTGTGGAATAAGAAGTATATTACAATAAAAGTCAACAAAATACAGAAAACATACCTTACTCCAGAAAGACTGTCAAAGGCATGAAGATCTAATACATTAGCGAGATGAACTCTAAAAGGAAGAAATCCAGTGTAAACTATGGGAAATTCTGTGAAATATATTCAATTAATCAAAGAAAAAAAAATCTCTAAGACTCTTTTGCCAAAAACGTAGACATAAAGTTTAATCAATATATCATACTATTTTGGGAAACACATAAAAATGACAAGCAAAGAAGAAAAAGCTTGTTGTAAAATTTTTTAATAGAATTTCTTCATAAAATTAAAAAAACAGTGACTAGTTTAAGTTCAAGGCAGAAAATTACTTGATTATTGCTTCAATAAACTATATATATTTTTATTTATACTTTCAATTGTCTTTTCAATCCTGGGAATTTATGAGCTTGATTACAAATACATTTTACAGACAAAAAAAAAAAAAAACCCTCAGTTATAGAACTGGAACTTTTCAAAGCAGCAGTTTATTACTCAAAAGATGAAATGTGGGACGTGAAGCGAAGGCACTGCCGCAGTACAGTACGTTCCCTTCAGGACGTCTGGATTTCATTTACTTCACTCCCCGCCTTCCCCGATATAACAGGTAGTATTTTAAGAATACAAGGAATCAAACAACTATTCTAAGACCCTAATCTACATCCAAAGAGTGGTTTATTTCCTTCAGACCAGGGTTGCATAGACTGAAACACCCCAGTTAGCACTCTACCTGAATAAACATTATTTCCATGGGAATTATTTACAGGTAATTGTGGCTTATCAGGAAAGCAGTGTTTCAAACCAGCAGAGAATATCATATCACAGACAGCATTCATTTTGGTTTAAATACATATACAAAGACTAGTGAATGAATTCCAATGTTTACGTGAGCCTGTAAAACAGTAGAGGACAGTGATTTCTCTATAATCAAAGCTATGATGAAGGAATGTTTCAGGAAAACGACAACATAATGAATTTCAAAATTAGAATCCGGGAATTTGCCAAACATGTAAGTTCTCTTACAAGGAAAACAAAACAGTCAAATTCAAGATTTTTTAAAATATGCCAACATGTAAACCAAACCACCTCTTCTAACTTAGGAGTGACGTGCACTGCCTGCTTTGCTGATTCTCAAGTCTGCCAAATATTCATGCCTGTGGCAACAATACTGTTTGATCAGGAGTACTTATCCCGGCACAAGGCAGACAAATTCCCATCTTACTAAAAGAGTAATACTCCAAAGTTACATGCACATAAACTATAACAACACTGGAAATTCTGGACATTCTAGATGAAAAGAATCAGGAAAATCATCAAAGAAGTAAATATTCCATAAAGAAATTTGTAAATATCATCTTACATAAGAGATCAAAGCCTTAACATTAAACACATGTCCATTTTCACCATGACAGTTGAGTAAATATTTGTACTAATATGTGACAAATGAATGAACTTCTCCCCCAAGTTTATCATCTTTACCTTAGGAAACAGCTAGTTTAAAAAGTACACCTGCCAACTGTCTGAATATCAAAACTCAGGCCAACTGTATGAATACCAAAAGTCAGTTTGGAAACATAAGTTTCTAAAGTAAACAGTTTCATTCTGACACTGTTCTTAAGAATCCATGTCACACATGTAGAAATAATTCTGCTTGATACGCAGAATCTTTTGATATTTCCAAAACACACAGGATCAACACTAGATCTGTACAGGTTAAAATCTACAGAGAATAGAGTCCCCACTGAGGCTGCCTCAATCCAGCCTCTGCCCTTGCTCCTGCGGCAGAGCTGGTAGTCCTGGGGGTGCTGAGGTGCATGCCTCTCTTTTCTGTACATGTGCGGAAGGGAATGGAATAGGATTGGGGGAGCTCTGGTCTCCCACCTGGACCAGACTGGGGCTCTCCACTACGGGGACCATTGAGGGGTGGGGACGCACTACAGCAGTGTTGGAGGGGAGGGGGCAAAAAAAAAAAAAAATCTACAGTGAATAAAATAATACCAGTCTCTCACTGTATCTCACCAGATTCTCAATGGACAGTAAAACAGGAAAAGTCTAAGGTTCCAGATTAGAGTTACCATGGACCTGCCCCAAATCTAGTAACCCCACAGAAAATAAATTCCTTTACTCATCCAATTAGAAAACTAATTTCCACGGCATAAAATATACTTAATTTCCTCCTTTAGAGATAATAGCATCAGATATTTTCAAAACAGTAATACAAAAAAATAAAAATAAAAAGACTACCACCATTAATTTTTACGTGGTGGGGAGGGGAGTTCAGCGGCTACCCCGGGGTTAGTGTCTACTAGTCATCTTTCCAAAGTTCAATCAGTCTCCTAAACAGGAGCCACCAGCTAATCCCAGATCTACGAACTGTCAAACCCATCCAATGGCTAAGTCCTGAACTCTAGAACCAGATTTCTGAAGGCCTTCCCCAGTGGCACCTCAAACTTAGTGTCTACAAAACTCAACTAAACACCTTTTACCAAATCCCTGCTATCACTACCTCACCCGCAAGTTGCTCCCCATTCTGGTACTTCCTTCCATGGAGAACTGCACCCATATTCAATCCTCCCAGGACTCATACTGCTTTTAAAACCTTTCACTGACTCCTTGCTGCCCACAGAAAAAAAATCCAAAGTATATGTCATTGCATTCAAGATCCTTTGTGGAAAGTTCTCCATCTCTTCAGTCACACCTCTTTTTCTCTCTGCCACACACCATGTGCTCTAGCTGTTCTAAAATACTCACAGGTCCCTGGAGTACAAAATCTTCCTATGCCTAAAAAGCCATTCTACTCTTGTTCATCTGAAAAAATCCTATTCATTCTTCAAGAGGTCGATAATCACATCCTCAGTCAAAATTTCCTGAATTTTCATCAAGAAGAGCTGAGTAGTTGTTCCTCTATGTTCCTGTTCTTATAGGACCCTACATAATTAATACTCCTGTTATACTGATAATATTTAATATATTGGGTTTTGTTTGTTTACTTCTGTCTCCCCCAAATGACTCATCACCTACTACAAAGGCAGAGTTTTTGCCTTATCCATTGCTTAAATCCTCAAAAAGCCAAGAAATGCCTAGCAACTAATAGAATGCCCAATAGTTTGTTGAACTGATTAACTTATTACTGAACAACTGGATTTTGGTTTTCTTCTGTTCGGTCCTCTGAAATCTGCAAGATTAAAAAGGAGTCAGGAAGAAATAAGAATGGCTCTTCTGATCTTCCACCCCTACTTCTGAAGTCTACGTGGCCCATTAGAACTTCCATTTGCTTCAAAGTCAACTTAAGTCTTACCAATAAGACAATGTTACACCTGATTCTTATTCCTCAACTTCAATACTCAAGGTAAGCCTTTTCTACATATGCTTACAGCAGTCTTATTATTGTCAGTTTTACTACTATCAGCGTTTGTCAACCACAAAATGCTTGAGGCATTAAAATTTAAAAACAAAAAAACAAACACAATAAAACAAAACTTCCATCAGTGATTTCCACCATTTTGTTAAAAACCAGATCTCTTGTTTCTAAACTGGGAAGGCTCAAGTTGCTGTGCCTCAAGGAATTGGGGGAAATATTTAATGTAAGATTCATGACCATGGTAAGAATTCTACCATGGAGGTCTGATCTTCATTGAAAAAGATCCTAATCCAACTTCAGTCCTCACAGCAAGGAAGTACTATTTCAGAAAGTCCCTAGATTCTCAGATACAATGGCAAACACAAGACACTGAAGAAACAAGGAAAAAAATTTTAAAAAAAGGAGATTTTATTCATTTGCTCATTCATCCATTTGAAGCAACTAAATTTAATCACTATATGTTTACTGTTCTATAAACATAACAGAACTGTTAGAAATGTCATAGAACCATCAAAATTGTTACACAATAATCTCTTCAAGATAAAACCTTTACACGGCACGTAAAGGTTTAAAATGAAAACATAAAGAAAAATTAAGCAAAGTAAATCCAGGAGCCTGTAAAAACTGATCTGAGATGTTTGTAAATATGAACCAAATAAATGCTATTACAACGGAACCATAGCTATTGATGGATATGGTTTCTAAAATCTTATTTCAGCTTTCTGTGGTCGTCTGTGTATCACTTTGTAATGAAGAGAAAATTTAGGGAGAAAGAAAATGGTAAAATGCAAGAGAAAGAAGACTAATAACTGAGGAATGGCTCTGGTATGAGTTAGGCGATCAAAGGTTTTCTACACTGGAATCTGAAATGCAGGGAGCACATTCGGCGTTTACTTGCGGAAGACTTACGCTAAGGGCATCCTTCTGCCACCTCCGCCCGCAGATGAGTGGCTTTTGAGAATGCACACCAACTTAATTCCCCAGCTGTCCGCACGCACACAAGCAGCTGTCCCCGCTCATGCCTACTGCCCAGGGCAGTCTGTCAGCACCTCTAACCTCTGCTGCGCAGATGAGCCTCTGAGCAAAGCCCGCTGCTGCACTTCCAAGGAAAGAATCTCTGAATTAAGAACTGCGTTGGCACTGGACTGCCAGCCCTGAGACCCACAGCTGCTGGCTGCATGTTGCTGGGTCTCTCAGCTGCTGAACCATTCATTCTTGCTAAAAAATGAGCTTAACGATATATCCCTGTAAGAATTTTCTGAAATCATAATAGCATTCATTGGAAAACAGAATTCAATCCAAAGAAATACAATTCACAGATGTTTCAAGAATACGTCTATTTTAGAAAGTACTGTACATCTGTATGAACAGAATAAAAAGACAGAAGAACCTACAGGAAATGGACATAAAGATAAACTTAAAGATAAAGGTTCCTCTATTTTTACATGACAGATTATTTTTGCAGCTATACAAAAAACTTAGAAGTTTTTAGAAAATATTAGAATGCCATTTAAGTACCTCAAGCTAAGATGATTCCTAATAACATACTTTTAGGGATTTCTATACTAGTTACTTTTCTGAGTGGATGAAAAGTCCTATGTTTTCTTCCTCATGAAACAAAAGCACAGCCACCCAGCCTTACCATGGCTCTGTAGTCTTGCTACAACAAGAAGCAAACTATTAACCAAATATGCCAAACTAATTTATAAAGAACATTCAAAACATTTTGGGGCCCCATTTTTTAAAAAGGCACATGTATCTTTGTTATAAAAGAATCAGGCATATTTATCAATTACTTAATAATTATTATTAACTAAAATTATTTACTGTCAATATTAGTAACGGCTTTTAAAAGTACCTTGATCTTTGTGTTTCTAAAATTTTTCCCAGTCCATTTATGGATCTGAAATAAACATAAAAATAAAGAAGAAAGGGTAAAAAGGTAAATGTTAAACTTTTTAAAGATCATAAAGCATATTATTTCTAAAACAGGAAATAAGCATATACAAATATATCTGGAGAAAAAAACCAGAAAAACAAAACTTACATTTTTTTATAGCTTATTATTTTTTTTCTAATCATAAATCAGGTACATTCCACTTAGGTATTAAAACATGACAGGCAAAAATCTACTGCACAACTGACTAACTGGGGGATACTTTGTGAATTATAAAGAGACCCTTCACGTTAGAAAAAATGATTCATAGCCAGTAATTCTAATGTTCTCAAAGTGAGTAGATAAATCAAGATTTTTACTGATACTCAATTTTCCACAAGCACACATCGTGGAAATGCCTATACACAGGCTAGAAATAAAAACCTAAAAAGTTGTGAGTGGCTTTGACCCAGCCCGTCCTCGTTTTCACAGTAACAGGAAGTCAGGTATCCAGGTTCTTCCACAAAATAACCTCTTCGTTCCCTAACTAGAATCTCTACCCGTTCTGCCAGTCCTTCCCTTTCTGATATTACTGAGATAATGAAACAGGACTCCCTCACCAAAAATACTTGTTAAATTCTTTTCAACATACCAAACACCTCATCTATTTATCTTTATACCATCAATTCCATTGCCTTCAGTGTTACTTGCTGAATGTATGTGCCTTTTGTTCAAGCTTATTCTCATGGGTAAGGTTTCCCATCTACAATGATTCTAAGGCAAGTCTCTCTACCATTTCACAAAGTTCTTAATCTTTTCTACTTGAATATACTGTATAACCTGATGGCCACTTCCTCTCAGATATGTTCACCTTCTTCCAACTCCCCAAATCTAATGCCCAGTCAGTTGCAAGGCTGATGTACAATGGAGGGTCAAAATCCAAAGGGTCTGTAATTTATCAAAGCACTGTGTCCAAATTCTTTCCTGGTATTGCTGTACAGAGCAGGCTGGCAAACAAAATTTAGGAGACCAGAGTCAAAAGGGGCAAGAGAAGGAATCTCCATTCACTGCTTTCATCTTTCTAGATTTTTCCAAAAATATCAACCATTTTTCTATTTCCTTCATTTTTACTCATTGTGGCTTAAAATTACTATGTAAACCAGGAAAAAAAGTTACACTCTATTAATGATAATAGTAGCTAACAGAGCACTTACTATGTGTCAGGCACTGTGCATAGTTTACCAACAATGTCTCATGAACACTTAAACCAAACTTAATGAAGTAGGTATTCTTTCCTGTTTTAGAGATGAGAATTAAAAAGAACACAGCAAGAAACAGACCAAGGAGTAGAACCCAACCAACCAGATTCTAAAGTCCATCCTCTTAAACACTATGCAGCACTACCTGCACTACACATGGAGATATTATTACAGTTTTTTATAGTAAAGACTCAAAGGATATTAACATTAAAATAATGTGCAGAAAATGTGCAGAAAAATATGGATTTCTTTCCTCTTCAATTATTCATCACTGCAACCAATCTTCTCATGAGCCTTGCCTTTATTGATTCAATTTATAACATACTATATGAACTGGTACTGACAGAATCAAAATCTGATGCCAGCAGATTATACCCATTAAAGATGACTAATAATAAAAACTATTGGATGTCTCTTTGTAGATGGCATTTATTAACTGCCTTAAAAAATAATTCAAAGTCCCTGAACTCTAATCTCATTTGAAAAGTCCAAATGACTGTGGATCATTTAGCATATATTTGAGTACCATTCATACTGTCCTATGCTGACCAACCCTGGCCATGGACACTGAAGACATTAAAGCAAGCTGGGAGACAGGCACGTTTAGTTGACAGTCAAGGAAGACAAAGTCAGTGAGGGTTCAGGGCAAGGAGACCACCTGAGACAGGGGAGATTTCACAGAGAGCGAGGGAGAAAAGGAGGTGACGGGACAACTCTACAGAATGGATGAAATCGCTTAAAAAAAAAAGGAAGCAAAGAAAAACAGAGACAATGAAGGAATTCAAGGACTGGCAGAGTGAGTGAGAACATGCAGAGTAAAGAAAGGATACGGCAAGACACATCCATGGGAAAGTAAATCGTCCTGAGTAAAGTGAGAGAACTTCCTGCAGGCCAAGAGTCAAAGAGAGACAGGAAAAGGAGGCTGGAGCCAGAAGACCCTGAGTATCAGTCTATGAATTCTAACTGCATTCTCTAAAAAATGGGGAATGACTTTATATATTTATTTTTACATAACAGTCAATTAGGCATCAACAATAAATGACTCCAGAATGGTACTTGAAGTAGGTCAACCTTGAACCTTAAGTTTCTACAGGGTAATACAGGAAAAATCTTTTATATAGTACACTTTGGATTTGTAGGTAGTTAACACTTAAAACTTCATACCTAATGGCTGTTCTTAATTTGCTTAAATCCTCTTCTGAAACCAAGTCTGTTTTATTAATGATGATGATATCTGCCAAAGCAACTTGCCTAAATTAGCAAAGAAAGAACAGATGTCAAAAGAGAAATGTTAAGAAATTAAAAATAGAAACATCTCCTTCAGATCAAATAGCATTAAGAACTATATAGTACTCTGTATGGTAATTGATTTTACTCCTATTTATCATTCTTTAAACAGTAAGAATAAACTGCATCCATTACTATATAAATTCAGATTTCATATGTATTCATTCAAAAAATATTTACTAAGTGCTCTCACTTGCTACTCTCAAACTACAAAGATAAACCCCCAAAAGTTTACAATCAAGGATCATTTTCAACTCAAAATTTTCTTTGTAAAGAAATGCATAAAATTCAGATATTAAATATGGTAAAAATATGGACAGTCTACTGACTAAAATATTCCATGTTATCACATGGAATTTTCAAAGAAATAAAACAAATTAACATTAACACTAAACAGTTTTTTTTTTAAAACCACACTTCAGAAGATACATCAGGATCCTGAACAAATATCTTCTTCATCACTATAAATGTTTTTCTCTGTAAAATAGATACACATTCAAGTTAAAGAATGTTATTCTGTCCCATTGACAGAATGCTAGATAACAAAATAGCTTACTATAAATAGAAGTTCTATTTTCTTTTTTTTTTAAGGATTTTATTTATTTATTTGAGAGAGAGAGAATGAGAGATAGAGAGCACGAGAGGGAAGAGGGTCAGAGGGAGAAGCAGACTCCCCGCTGAGCAGGGAGCCCGATGTGGGACTCGATCCCAGAACTCCAGGATCATGACCTGAGCCAAAGGCAGTCGCTTAACCAATTGAGCCACCCAGGTACCCGAAGTTCTATTTTCTATTAATAGGAGTAGTAGAGCTGAGGATTCTTTAAATTTTCCTCAATTCTTCAGGAAATTTTAATCACTAGGCTATTTATTCCTAATTCCAGTTTTATGCTACCTGAAGATATAGCCAATTAGGTCAAATGACATGGCCAAATTCTCAAAAATAAATTAACTTTAATTTATTGAAAAAGCAAGTTTCAACAGTATGTACATCATAATCCCATTTCTGTTTAAGTAAGTGTTCTATGAATAAAGATTAAATGTGGATGGGGCACCTGGGTGGCTCAGTTGATTAAGCGACTGCCTTCAGCTCGGGTCATGAGCCCCCAAGCCCCGCATCGGGCTCCCTGCTCGGCGGGAAGCCTGCTTCTCCCTCTCCCACTCCCCCTGTTTGTGTTCCCTCTCTCGCTGTGTCTCTCTCTGTCAAATAAATAAATAAAATCTTCAAAAAAAAAAAAGATTTAATGTGGACACCTCAAAATATAAAGTCACTATCTTTAAATTGGAGGCCTTTTACATTTAACTTTATTTATTTAAGATTTATTTATCTGAGAGAGAGAGAGAGTGAGTGGGGGAAAGGGCAGAGGGACAGGGTGAGAGAGAGAAGCAGACTCCCTCCTGAGCGAGGAGCCTGACACGGAGCTGGATCTCACAGCCAGAGAACATGACCTGAGCTGAAATCAAGTCACTTAACCAAACGAGCCACCCAGGTGCCCCATCTTTATTGTGGCTTTTATGACACTTCACTTATTTTCTAATTTGGCTTCTTTATATTTTCTATAATAAATATATTTTTAATAAGGAAAACAATTATAAAAATGTTTAAGTTCAGTCTAATCTGAATCATACCTATATACCCAATGCAGTGTTCAGGCAGGATTACAGCACCACAGAGCACTATAGTCCAAAATGAGAGGGAGCCAACTGCTTGTTTGTAGTCTATTATTTATGTCTGGATCACACTTAGCAAATCACAGGGAGACTCCCCCTTAACCCCAGCAGCAGACCTAGCAACCATGGTATATCCCAAAGCCTTTTTCCCCCATTAGCAAGAATATGCTTAGGGTAGGCAAACTGATTTAAATATTTGTAAGTCTAAAGACAGCCCAATTAGGAACATAAAGGTATTTAAGCAAAAAAATGTTCTAAATGCCAATTAAAACTATTTCTGTATTTATTTTGTTCTGAGTAACAGTGAATACGTGAATCAAATGAATTACTGTTGAAGAAGGCAGTAAGTGAACCAACTCTTTTCTTTATAATCCTCTTGAATCCCAATGACATCATAAAAGAACAAAAACCCAGTTTTAAATGTTCACTGCTCCCAAGCACCTTTCAAAGAACTGCTGTGCCCAACACTCATTTTATGCTACATATAAAAGTTTTAAATAAAATTTTAGTTATCAGACCATTATAAGTAGCAGTAATTCAATTACAGGGGATAAAGACAACAAATTTTCCTTGACTATGTTTTTATATTTCTCACTTTGGTTTTGGTTTTCATAATAATTGTCTCTTTTCAATTAGCCAGTAATCAATATATACTTTAAATATGAATACCTAGAAGCTTCATTGATAAGGCCATCCGGTTTTTCTTCTTCCAAATGCTAAACAAAAACAAAGTTTGAAAAAAGTTACTGTGGGAAAACACAAACACTAATGTCAACACAAAGAATTTTACTTTGGAGACTCCTTTCTTGCTTCTAATATACATTTCAACAAGTTCTATTACTGAACACACAAATGCAGAACTAATTTTTCTAACTGAAAGCATTTTATTCCCCATTTGTAATTGTTTTCCTACAGTGACTCTATTGGGGGTGTTTGGGGGAGGGGGCAGGACTTAAATACTGTCCCCCTGACACCTCCTTTTCCTTAAAAGGAAAACCCTCCAGATTTAAATAATGTCAATAAAAACAAAGAGCATTACAGTTCAAATTATAGGCCTTTTCCTTTTTCACAAAACTGTTTTTGTTCTAAATATTCATTATTACTTATATATAAAAGAGATAACGACCAAAATAGACTTTCTTAAATCTAATACACTTCCATCCATTCCGGTCCCAGACCCCACTTCCCACCCCAGCATCACACACAATATGGACTCAGTGCTGAGCCCTTTCTATTCCTGAAACAAGCTGTGGGAAGGCCACAGCCCCAATTCTAGCCTAAAAGCAGCTGACCATTTAGAGAAACAGACACCTGAGTGACCTGGCCCCTCAGTGCAACTGTTTACTTTGCTGACCTCTCCAGAGTCAAGCTAGCTCCAAAAAAATATTGTGACACTGACATAGGGGCCCACAAGGTAGCTGTCATCTCTCTGGAAGTGGTTATTATTTTTCCATAATTCTATTTAAATCCCTAAAGGCATCAATGCCAAAAGGTTCGTCTCTGCAAAACATTCCACCTTCATTACTTTAACCTTTAATAGACGCTCCGTCACAAGAAAAAGCTGCCTACTGAGGTTAGAGGCAATTTGATTATATTGATATTTTTTGTATTTGAAATCAAACTTCACAAATTCTTAAATCATTTTACATACATTATCTCATTTAGCCTTTCTAAGAATTAGAAGAAATGGCTATTCTCATTTTATAAAGGAAGAAACTAAATTTAATACTGTCACTGTCACAGGATACTCTTTTATAGGGTTATTTTTCAAAAATTGAAAACGTGCTATAGAAGTAAAATGATAATTTTAAAAACTTATGAATGAAAGCTTTTTATGTCACATAAAATCAATCTTCGATACAGATGTTACATAAATATTAACAATCACGTAAGACTATACTCATAGAGAGTACCTAAAAGTTACATTCAAAATTACTATATTATTATTATTAGTGTATCAAAAACTGTTCCTTGCCAAAAGACAAAGTTTACTATTTTTCCTAATTATTCTTGGCCTGAGGCTACTGCAAACCCTATTATTACGTCCTGTAGAGAATAAGGCTGTTACCATCCTGGAAATAGTACCTGGCACCAGGCTCAAAAAATATTTATTGAATGAATTCTAGTTAACACCCCTATTTGTTGACAAAGATAAGTAGATGTTGTTATTTGAAATATTCTATATAATGTGCAGCAACAAATCCCCTTCTATTCAGCAGTATACCTATCTAATAAAGATGTATTTTTAGCAAGGTACCTGTTTCTGAAAGATCCTGGAATATTCCAGGATTTGAAAATTTGAAATATTTTTCAAAATATTGTATTGTTGACCTTTTGGAAGCTTTATTTACACATGAATTTGGGGCTATGTGGCTGTGAGTTGGTGGGGTATAAAAAAAGATATGGCAGGAAAATTAGATATTTTATTTTTGAATTTCCATACCTTTCCATAAATGGAACAGTAGTTTTACAAAGTAACCCATGTTTTTAACACATTTACTTCTCCAGAAGATTAGAAATCTACACTCAAAGCTAAGTGGGAAAAACCAACATTTTACTACCTTCAGGCAATCAAGAAGTACCAAATATAAAAACATGTTAAAATCCCCAAAATAAAAACAGGCCAATATGTACAATTCTATTATGGATAAGGCATGTAATAATCACATAAAATTACAGAAAAAGATAAAAGCCCTGTTCTATGCATTTTTGAAGGCCATATAAACATAAAGAAATAATAAATGCACACTAACATTTATTTTCTCTGGGTATCAGCCCAATATTTATTTTCCTTATGCAACTTCCTTCCTCCCCAAGTCAAACTTTGCAAAAAGTCTAAAACTAGTATCTTTTATTCAAAGGGACATTCTCCAATATTGGTTACTCTGTCGGATAAATTCCATTTATAAAGTTAAAAAAAATGGAAATTTTGATATTCTATGCTACCTGCACAGGCAAGGAAGGAAAACATCTGCAAATTTTTTTTCAAAAATTTTAGAGTGTGTGTGTGTGTGTGTGTGTGTGTGTGTGTGTGTGTGTGAATGTATACATATGCCCAAAGGATTCCTCACCTCTGCTGAGAAACTATGGCTTTTGCTTATATATTAAAAAAGACAAAAATGGTTTTGGTACTAATTAACCTGACACTTCCCAAAAGTCAAGGTTCAACCTCCAACTCAGCACACAGTAAGAAAGAAAGAAACCCTTTGAAATAACACCACTGTAGACCCGACTTCAATAAGGGCTAGTGGGTGTCCTCTTCTGCAGAAACAGAAACAAGCCGGACCAAAAAGAAGAGAGCAAGATAGGGGAAAACACTGGTGTTGACCAAAATGGAAGAAATCTAGTGTCAAAGATGTCAGACAACATTTAAAAAAAGCAGCAGCTCTCTCCTCTCAACGGACTGGTTATAGATCTGATGCTATTTCAGCTCTTAGAAAACGATTATTGCATAATGTCAGTCTATTTATTTTTCCAGTCTTTTCCAAGCCAAACTGTTTTCTGACTGAATTGTTTCAACAGCTAGCGCAATATAACAGAAGAGCCAAAAAGAAACCTCTCACTTGACCTTTCCTGTGTAACTTCATCCATTGATTCTATTGCATTAAATGCTGTCACATTTGTAGAACTGAAAAGAACAATGTTGGTAGCCTGGGTGTCAAGTCCTGAGAATAGAGAGCTGTCATTTGAAGTTGTCCAATTCTTTGCCCGTGATTAAAAAATGAATATTTCAGATCAATGGGTGACAATCCCATTAGAGTGATAGCCCATGATATCAATTACCACTTCAGTTTCAATTTGGCTCCCTGGCCACAGGGTACCATTTCTCAGCTTTACTTGTGATGGGCTGGCTCTTTGAAGCATGACACCCTTAAATTGCTGCCCATTATCCAAGTGTCATTACTTGTACTGCCTCAGAATTCTCTGAATCACAAGCAGCTACTGGGGTCAAGCTTTGCAACCAGAGAAATTGGACAAGTGAGCAAATTCTTTATACAAAGGAAAAGTTATTTATCTGGCATCTGACTTAAAAAATCTAAAGTTTCCATTATCCTGACAGTATGTCAGTTTTGTGTAGGTATATTGATTTAATAATTTAAGAGGTTTTATCAAGGTGGCAGGAGGTTAAACGTTTACTGTGTTTGCATTATTCAGAATGTTGCTTTGTTTATTTGGCCTCAATTACACTGATAATAGATTCTATTTAACTCCTCTGCAAATCTAAATATACATATAAAATTATTCCTGTAATCATAAATACATGAAGAGTTTAACTCTGGGTATGATACCTTAAGTCTATCAAGAAGACAAATAAAATATCTTAACTGCTATCTCTTCTGTAGGTATCCCAAATTTGGTATTAAATGCATGTAAGAGATGAATTCAGACATGCCTATAATAAACATCCAGAATGAAGAATTTTATTTATTTTGCTTCCTCCATAAATATTTTGTTAGAAATATCATGATTTCAGAAGAGTCGGAATTTTTCTGAGTAAAATTGTAATATCCGTAATCTTTCTTTGATTCTTAAGATGACTAATAAATTTGGACTCAAAATCTACAGAGAAATTATTTTCCAAATATCTCAAATTAGGCAGCTCTATTCCTGAGGGAGACAAAGGGCCAGTGAAGGGATAGTGGTAACCACTTAACAAGCATGCTCCACCAACTGAACTAGCCAGGTGTCCCGGAAGGAACACTTTCAAATTAACAAATCAGATATATGTCGAGTAGAATACAAAATGGACGTGCATTTTTATTTAAACTTCTAAGAAATGATTACTTAGGGGGCTATCCACATCCCAGAGTGGGACCAGGAGATGGAGGATAATTTCATTCTCTTTTCCCTTTAGTAGTATTTCACTTGGAAAGTTGAAAAATATTGTTTTATTTTATGCAACAACATGTTTTTAAAAATCTTACTAAGTGCATTTTATGAATTGAAGTCCATTTAAATGTATTTGAAGAACTTGGTAGTTATGAAAACATTCACAGGAGGATACCTTTTAAAGGAGAGTTTCTCCTCACTGCACCTATGTATAAACCCTGATTTCTTCAAAGTAAGGTAAAGCAATTATTTTTTAATGCAATTATTTCCAGTTTGTGTCTGGTAGCAGTTTAACAAGAGAAAAAAGTTCTCATATGCTTTCTCAAGCTCAATTTCTTCTATCAAATAGAAAAACTCATCAACAATGGGGTTGAGTCCCAGTAAGGAGTTACACATACACAAACTTTATCCTGTAATATCATCATTACAAAGTATTACACTTCCAACTTCTATCATATCAAGCCAGAGTAACAGAAAATACTTAATTTTAAAACACAATAATTAAAAGACACACAAATTTCATCTATTGTTCACAATAGTTAAAAAAAAAACTTTTTGTTAAAATATTCAAACAAAACTGTAGGAAAAAAATAATATAATCAATCCCCATAAACCCAGCTTTTAACAAATAAGTAGCAACTCACAGCAATCTTTCAACTTACTTTTAGTCCATATTTTGAATCCACAACAGTTATGATACCTACAAAGGAATATATCTTTTAATCACCTCTATGCTTGAGAATGAAAATCACAGCTAACCTATATCAGTTCATAAATGTTACTCAATAAAATATTGGTTTTTCTCTTGCCAAAGCTGCAATTTAATTCAATTCCATTAACAAGTAGGCACATTTCAAATGTGTACTGAGTGCCTAGTACCATTTTAAGGCATTAGGGAGGTTATAAAATAATTTTTTAAATCAAATAAACAAAGAAGTAAATAAGAAAATAAGATATTTCTGGCCTTTAAAAAGCTTTAAATCCAAAACATGATGAGACAAATTCCATAATATAAACTGGAATGTGATAAATTACACAAGACAGGTTATTTCCACTTTATATATTCACATTATCAAAATCAAGACTTCTCTTAACATTTAAATTACTGCTTAACAAATCTAAGATGCCTTAAGATATCTTATTCCTAATAATTTGCACCAAATCTAACTCATACAAGTATTTTCCATAACATGTACCTAAGTTTCCAAATGGTCAATTAGTTTGGCAATCTCTGAATTTTATGCCAAATAATTTTTTCAAATGGTAACAGCAGAATGAGTCTGATGATGCCTAGGGAATTCAACCAGCTCCATGCTGCATATACTAGAGCCAAATGACTGGGCACAGTCTTAAATTTCACTCTTGAGTCTGTGGAAGACCTGGTTTAAAGAAAGGTAAAGGGTGGGCGGGGCATAGTTACTTCATTCAGAAAGTTTCTATATGTCCTACACGAAGTCTATGAATACAATTGCCCAAAAGTGTTAAGGCAAAAAAAGTAAGGGGTGGGGGTTTTGCTTAATTCTTATCTTCAGAGGAAAATGAAAGCAGAAATATGATCCTCATACTGTATATTTTAAATAAAATAAAAAACTCTCTAACATAGTAAGTACATAAACAGAGGATATAAGAAACTGACATAGCACTTTAAAAGGAAAACCTTAGTGGAAGCACTAAATTGAGAGCTGACATTAAGATCTGACATCTAGTTCTACCACTCTCTGGGGCTTTGGAATCTTACTTCATCATCAAACTAAACAAGTTTAAAAAGATTAAAATTATAATGTGAGCAGAAAAAAAAACTTAACCATAACATTTTACTTGAAAACAAAAGAATATTTGCTTTTTAACTTACCATCAAGATAAATATCAACCCCTAATTCAGCATCAACCCAAAACATAGAAGCTACAGCACCTGAAAAATATGTAAAATATTCATCAAATAAAAATATTTATTCAAACTGAGAAACACTATTCTACCCAGGCTGTTTTAATGTGTCCTAAAAGAATTAGCAGGCGAACACATATACAAATTATGTATGGCTTTCCAAACTTCTTTATGGGAACTACAACAACAGAATCTTTTACTATTTATACTCATTTCTTCCCCTCTCCCTTTTCTGTCCCCCCCGAACAAAAAAAAGAAAGAAAGAAAAACAGATCAGCTCTTATCACATACAAACCCAACACCAAGCTTCTATCAATGTCATAGTAATCTGCCAATAGATACTACCAAATAATTTGGGCACTACGGATATGTGCACACGGGACTTTTTATGTTTTCTCTTCCAAATTTAATAATCATACAGTTCACAAATAATGAATTCTCTCTCTAAAGGGAAGCAAAACACAACATAGATAATTCAGAAGCCACTTGACCGAAAAAGAGAAAAACTTGTAAGTTTTATAGAAGGAAAAGAACAGAAGGCAAAATTATACACTCTATAAGAGCATTACTAGTAAAACCTTATACTATTTGTTTAATATTGATATAAAATTTGGATCTGAGGAAAAAGAACTTCTAAGTAAGAAATTAAAACTTGTTTTTGACACTGGTTCAGTAGCAAAGCACACGCCCTGATCAGTTTGCCATTACACAAGAAAAAGAAAACTGGCAGTAAAAAAAGTATTTGATTTTTCAAAGCATCACAGGTCCAGTTAGTGACAGGGCTGTCCAAAAGAATGAGTACTGGGGAAAAACAAGGATAACTGAACTCATACCCGTGTCTGAAGCTGTCCACCTACCCTGAGGAGATGTGGTCCCCCAAGCATCACTGTGTCAAGAGCGAAATACCTGTCAGCTGTCTACAGTGATTACTCATGCAAGATAATAGCAAGGGCCACAAGATCTAATGGTTTCCTGATACCTATTGATTTTTTCCCCAAAACTTAATAGTTTTCCAATTTGACTGAAATAGGATTTGTGAGTAACAGGGGCGAATCAATGCCTGTTCTTTTCAAGGAAATTACTTTACCATGACAATTATTTAGCTTAGAACTGGAGAGTGTCAGTCTCCTAAACGGGAAACAACTGAATTGCCAATAAGAATTTTCTTCACTTACTTGGCTAACATCATGATTTTAATTAATGAGGGAGAAAAAAGTAAATCTACTGTGAGTATCATTACCCCAAACAATAAGTCATAAAAAAAAGTCTTAATTTTTTTCACTCAGTAAAATTCCACATTGTTCATAAACCTTTTTTTTTAATTTATGGATTACTATTCAGATAGCTTATAAGTCCTATACAGTTAACATTCGTGTAGTATTAAGTTGAATTGCAAGAGTGTATTAGAGCTTTTTTTTCTAAGTCTGATGTGTATCTTTGATAATACTTACCAGGCTACTTAAGAAAACTATTTAAAATTTAGATGAAGGTATTTAGCAAGAGGAGTAAGATGAGAGAATAAGTTAATCAGTAGTTCCAAACACAGGGTGTTTTTTCTCCCCAGGGAATATTTGGCAATGCCTGAAGATATTTTTAATTGTCTCAACTAGGGGAATGCTACTGGCATTTAGTAGGTAGAAGCCAGGGATGCTGTTAAATATCCCACAAGGCAAAAAACAATAAAACAAAACAAAACAAAAAAAAACAAAAACATCCCACAATCCACAAGACAATCCCCTACAAAAAAGAGCTATCCAACCCAAAATATCAGTTGTGCCAAGGTTAAGAAACCCCGACCTAGATTATAGAATCTCCTTTATTCAAAACCAATTACAACAAACATTTAAAATAAATAAAATTTTAAAAGCCAAGTTTTATTAGCAGCAACCCAATATACAACCTCCTGCCACAAATTTTGAAGAGTGATACTCTAAATAAGAAACAGAAAGTCCTATGTGACTTCTGAAAATTCTTATTGCTACCCTGACTAATAAGTGGTTGTGGGGAAAAAGTTTACAAAATCCAAATACTTATCAGAAACAGCTTTCAAAATGGCAAGAAGGGGAACTGAGCAAAGAATAAGTAATATAGGGAAAAGTCAACCAAGGGTAAAAGTTTCTAACCATTTCTACATTTTTGGAGGAGGGGGTCACTTTATAGGGCTCAGAGCAAAATGAACTAAAAGGTCTGAAGCTCAAGGTTGTACCTGCACAAGGTATTAATATATTTTCATGAGTAGCTGGAGGAAATTCAGGAGGGGAACACTGGGTACTTTAAGAGAACAGAACCTAGGAGTCATATTGCCCATCTGGCTCTCTCAGTCACCCCTTTTCCTTTGCTTCCCCTTCCCTGCTCTCAGCAAGACCCAGCATTCAAATTGAGGTCCAGGAGAAAAACAAGTTTAGGCAGGATGCGTAAAATATTAAAAATAACACACCAACACCATATGTAAATAGACTTATGTTCTCTACATCAACCTCCAGCATGCTGAAAAAACAATGCACATATGTTTTTTCAAAGAAATGGAACAAATAATCCTAAAATTTGTATGGAACCAGAAAAGACCTTGAATAGCCAGAGGAATGTTGAAAAAGAAAAGCAAAGCTGGCGGCATCACAATTCCAGACTTCAAGCTCTATTACAAAGCTGTCATCATCAAGACAGTATGGTACTGGCACAAAAACAGACACATAGATCAATGGAACAGAATAGAGAGCCCAGAAATGGACCCTCAACTCTATGGTCAACTCATCTTCCACAAAGCAGGAAAGAATGTCCAGTGGAAAAAAGACAGTCTCTTCAACAAATGGTGTTGGGAAAATTGGACAGCCACATATAGAAGAATGAAACTGGACCATTTCCTTACACTGCACACAACAAGAGACCCAAAATGGATCAAAGACCTAAAAGTGAGACAGGAATCCATCAAAATCCTTGAGGAGAACACAAGCAGCAACCTCTTCGACCTCAGCTGCAGCAACTTCTTCCTAGAAACATCACCAAAGGCAAGGCAAGCAAGGGCAAAAATGAACTATTGGGGACTTCATCAAGATAAAAAGCTTTTGCACAGCAAAGGAAACAGACAAAAACCAAAAGATAACCAACAGAATGGGAGAAGATATTTGCAAATATCTTATCAGATAAAGGACTAGTATCCAAAATCTTACCAAACTCAACACCCAAAGAACAACTAATTCAATCAAGAAATGGACAGAAGACATGAACACACATTTCTGCAAAGACGACATCCAAAAGGCCAACAGACACATGAAAAAGTGCTCAACATCGCTCGGCATCAGGGAAATCCAAATCAAAACCTCAATGAGATATTACCTCACACCAGTCAGAATGGCTAAAATTAACAAGTCAGGAAACGACAGATGTTGGCGGGGATGTGGAGAAAGGGGAACCCTCCTATGCTGTTGGTGGGAAGGCAAGCTGGTGCAGCCACTCTGGAAAACAGTATGGAGGTTCCTCAAAAGTTGAAAATAGAGCTACCCTACAACCCAGCAATTGCACTACTGGGTATTTACCCCAAAGATACAAATGTAGGGATCCGAAGGGGCACGTGCACCCCAATGTTTATAGCAGCAATATCCACAATGGCCAAACTATGGCAGAGCCCAGATGTCCGTCAACAGATGAATGGATAAAGAAGATGTGGTATATATACACAATGGAATATTATGCAGCCATCAAAAAATGAAGTCTTGCCATTTGCAATGACATGGTTAGAACTAGAGGGTAAATGAAATAAGTAAGTGAAATAAGTCAATCAGAGAAAGACAATTATCATATAATCTGACAGATATGAGGAATTTGAGAAATAAGACTGAGGATCATAGGGGAAGGGAGGGAAAAATGAAACAAGATGAAACCAGAGAGGGAGACAAACCATAAGAGACTCAATCTCAGGAAACAAACTGAGGGTTGCTGGAGTGGTTGGGGGTGGGAGGGATGGGGTGGCTGGGTGGTGGACACTGGGGAGGGTATGTGCTATGGTAGCACTGTGAATTGTGTAAGACTGATGAATCACACACCTGTACCCCTGAAACAAATAATACATTATACATTAAATGAATAAATAAACAGGAAAAAAACAATGCACATATATTACAGCTTAGAAGAAACAAAAAAGAAGATAAAAGGAAAAAAACTGAAGAAATGAACAAGGTATATAAATGACAAAGAACCCATTTTGTTAGGAAACATAACCCAAGAAGCCAAAGAAAATTCTCAAAGGCCTATTCATGATAAGGAACTTAGAAACAACAAAATCAATTAAAAACAAACTCTAAAAGGCAAGATAAAGCAGAGTAACACGATACGGTAGTTTGTGCTAAAGAAATAAACATACAACCAATAAACCTATCATTACTTAACGAATTCTTTTAAAACATCATGGAACAGAACAGATACTGGTGGAAACAGAATTACTGACAGAAAGGAACATGTAAGATGACTGAAGTAAATGCAGAAGCAAAAGACAAAACAATTAGAAGATAAAACATATGGAGAACATAAGAAAATTCAATGTAAGGAAAATTGGTGTCATCAAGTGGAGGACCCAATAACGGGACAAAAAAATCTTCATGGTAATAAGGTAAATGCTCCTAAATGAAGAAATAAACCTAGAGATTACAGATTATACTGTAATCCAAGGAAAAATGATTATGAATGACACGTAGATGTACCCTGGTTACATTACTGACCTTCAAAAATAAAGGAAAAAATTGTCAGGCATTTTGGATGAGAAAGCAAGTCACTTTCAAGGAGGCAGAAAAAAATTAGACTTTTCTACACTAACATTCATTGCCCCAATATAATAAAATAATGACCACAAAGCTCTAATCAAAGTGTTCCCTAAGGATATTACCTCCTGCCAAGTTGTTTTTCAACAATGAAAACACCAGGTAGACAGACTCAAAACATTACAGGAAACAACAGCATTAAAACTCAAAAAATATATCGCTCACAAATCCTGACGGAAAAAAAAGGAAATCCAGGCAATCAAAAAATACTAAGAG